GTAGGGGAGGATGTGGGCTCACTCGTGTGGAATAGCAATCTCCGTTGGCACATGCAAGAACCGCAGCTGGGAATAGACCCGGTTGGGGAACTAAAGGGACATTCCAGCCAGGTTGGAATTCCAATTGGTGAGCATATCAACTAGAGTGGGAGTGTTGGTCTGGGTTGAATATGGCTGCAGTCTCCGTCGGCATGGATGTGGACTGAGTCTGGGGAGTGCCAGACTGGACTACACTCCAGCACCCACTGGTACTCATGAGAGTCAGGGTGGGTGTAGGGCAGGCTGGGCTAGGTCTCAACTCCTGCTGAACCATGTGAGAACTGTGTCTGGGCATGGACCAGATTTGGCTGGGCTGCAACACCCAACAGTAAGAACCAGAAAGGGTGTGGGCTGATTGTGCAGGGACACCATTCCTGCCAGGACAAGAGGTGGGTCAACAGCCTACACAAAACTGTACCTCACAATTCAAAATTCAAAATAAGAATATATTTTTAAAAAGAGGTGGGTCAAGTCAACCTGGGATGACGACCCATTGGTGGGCACAAGATCTGCTACTGGGAGGAGACCTGATTGAGGAGCTTGGGGAACTCCTTTGTCAGGTTGCAGTCCCAGCAGGTAAGTGCAAGGGAGATGGTGGGGACAGGCTGGACCAAACCAGGCCAAAGCACCCACTGGTGGATTCTGAGGTGAGATGAGCCATGCCAGTCTGGGGATGGTGGGTACCGGGTCTGTGAGCCTGAGGGTAGAGGAGTCTGGCAGGGCCTGGGTTGTCTGACCCAGGCCCTTTGGCCCACCTGCAAGGTGGTTGCTGAATCCATGAGCCCAAGGGCAGGGAATCTAGTGCAGTCCGGGCAACCTGATCCAGGTTTTTGGGCCCACCTTAATGGTAAATGCAAGATCTGTGAATTCTGGGGGTGGACGAGCCAGCAGAGCTCAGGTCATCTGGCCCAGGCCCTTCGGCCCACCTCCAAGATAGGTGCTGGATCTGTGAGACTCAGGGGTGGGGGAGGTGTCCTGTGGGGCTCAGGTTACCTGGTCCAGGTCCTTGTGTCCACCTGTGCAATGGGTGCCAGACCCATAGCCCCAGGGATGGAGATTGGGCAGGTCCCGGGTCGTCTGGCCCCTCACCTTCACTACACCAGTGCAGTGGGTGTTGGGTCCATGAGTCCCAGGTGTGGGTGGTCCAGAGGGCCTGGGTCTCCTGGTCTGGGTCCTGGAGCCCACCTGCATGATGGGTGCTGGGTCCAGGAGCCCCAGGAGCGAGGTGTCCAGTGGGTTTCAGGTCATCTGGCTGGGACCTTCGGCCTGCCTGTGAGGTGGGTACTGGATCTGTGGACCCCAGCAGTGGGGGGTCCAGCATGGCTTGTGCTGACCTGACTATTTGGGCTTACATACACGGTAGTGCCAAGTCTGTAAGGCCCAGGTCACTTGACCCAGGCTCCATAGGCCCACCTGTGAGAACTGGTCCTCCTCAGTGTAAAGGATAGAGTCCTAACTGCCAGGCCGCGGTGCAGAGAGAGGATATGGTAGCCCATTGGGGTCTGCAGAGAACATCTGGTACCACTGCAGGCAATGGAGTACAAAACACATGAACGGCTACCCCAGACAAACAATGACAGCACATATCTAGGCGAATGGAGACTCTAAGGTCAACTGTGTCAGCCAATGGACCTTGGAAGGATTTCTTCATCCACACATCAGTGAGACTGACAGCATTTCAGAACTACCACATCCACCTGAGCAGAATCCTCAGAGTGTGCACCACATTGGGACCTGAGTTGATACTGGGTAGCCATTCCCCATCCCTGGTACTGGGGTGATTGGGAGGCTGGGAATGGCTTCTCTCCTTATCACCTCTCCCCAGAAATGCGAAGAAGAAAATTTGGAAACAATGATCACACCCACTTTTCCCTAACCCTAGATCCTCCCCACCCTGACCAACTATGTAAACATCATCTAAAAAAACACCTACATCATGTGGATACTTGGTTTCCTCCACTCAGGGAGAACATGAAAGTGGCGGGTTTGGTCTTTACATCTCAGGAGTAGAGAATGAGCAGTTCACTGAGCCAGAAATGAGTTAACTCCCAGCTTAGTGCATACACGGTACTGCCCCATAGCCTTGCCTTCCTATGCAAAATGGTGCCTGATCCGGCACTAGTGGGTGGACTGGGCTGTGAAATCCACCCTGTTCCCACACCAACCATCTGGGACCTGCCGCTCTGTCTCTGTTCTTTGGGTTCACCTCCTGAACTCCTGGTGAATACCCCTTTCCACCTTGTTGCAGGTGGAGTTCTGGCCGCTGGTGCAGTTCAGCTTGCTGCTCATCCAATGCCACTGGGGTTTCTGGTCACTGCACCACCACGCCATTGTGTCTGCTGCTTTTCTGTGTCCGTCAGTCTCCAGGTGCCCCTCTGCTATCATCCTGTCCTCTCCTATTTCCTGGAATGTGCCCTCTCTGCTTCACACTGACTAATATTTCTCCGACTGTTTAAACATGTCCTTACCCTATCCTGCCATCTTGATTCTCTCCCACAAAGTCTTCATAAAGCTAAAAAAATATTTAACAAAGAAGAGTTTGAACTTTCTAGCACACAGAAACATTACTATTTGAGGAAGGAAATGCTAATTACCTTGATTTTTCATTGCAAATTATACTTATAAATTGAACTGCAAAACTGTACTCCATAAATATTAGGTGCATACTACATGTTAATTAAAATTTTTCTAAAAATAAGAACCTACAAAGCAAGTTGCATATAGTTTTTCATAATATGACCAAGACTACAAGTTTTCTAAAGATTCATTTATTTTTATTGGAAAGTCAGATATACAGATATGCATGTATCTTTTTGTTCTATTTTCCATAAACTTTTACAGGTGCCCTAGTTCTAATCTCAATCCTCCCGTCTGAGTCAGAGTGACGAATGCATGAATCTAGTGGTTTTGAGCTCTGCGGCCCAGTCTGCTCCCTCTAGTTTGACTGATTGAAGTTGGAACTATCGCACCCTCAACCAAGAGGTTCTCATTAAACAATCCAAATGCAGATGAGTTGGAACTGAACAAAGGAGGGCCTGCTTAGCTACACGTAGCTGTTAAAGAAGCTACAGACGCTGACATGAAAACGAACCCTATACTTAACAGGAGAAGTAAGTTCCCGGGACTGTGTGGGCATGGGCACTGTAATACACAGAGGCACTGGGACAGATTTTCAAACGCTTTTTTACATGTTGTAAAATTGTCCAGAAAATACCTGCCACCTTTATAAAACGTAAAAGACAGAAGTAAGCCCAGAATGTGAACTGAATGGGCAGGGGAGGTGGGCAGGGCGGTGGGCACGGGTATGTTATAGCCACTTCCCACCTGGCAGTGCCTGAGCTGGAGAACCCCCTCCAGCCCCTGAGTCCGGATCAGGGGGTTGGATTCCTGCCATTCCCATGGAGTCCCCAGCTCCTGGCTTTCGCCCAGTCCAGCCCGGCCACCACAGGCTCAGGGAAGGGTGAGCAAGTGGATGCAACTTCTGTCTTTCAAATAAATTCATGAATAAAAAAAACAGTACATCAAAAGAAAATAGACTTCAAACACTTTTTTAAAAAAAACTGGCTCATCTTGGGCTGCGTCCTTTCCCCTACACTAGTCTCCCAGGCCCCTGGTGCCCCGCACATCATGCTTTCTAATGAGAAAAGACGAGGGGCTGACACTGATTAGCACATGCACTTGACCCAGGGCCCTGACTCATCGCTCTCTGCCACGACAGTTGTCACTGTAAACCCCCATCACTGCCACGGTGGCTGTGACATGATGATTCTTCCTATTCTGTCAGCTTCTGACATTCTGAACTGGACAACTCTTCTTTGTCATGGGGGCGGGACAGTCCTGGCCTCCTGCCCCCAGGGGCTGGGAAGTACCCACACTTCAGTGATACCCCTGGATAGAGAACCAGCAATCCCAGGGCAGGAGAGGGTCAATTCCTGCCCCGAAATCTGAACTCCTAATAAACTCTGGACCTCAGTGACGGAGTGAGGGCAAAGGCCTCAGAACTACCTGGTGGCTGCCGGCAGACCCTGGCCTGCACCTGACCCTGGTCCTGTGCCGCTGAGCCCTTGTTCTCTCTCCCTCACCCAGAACAACCCCACCCTCCCATACCCCCCAGTGCCCCCCCTCACCCTGCAGAGAGAAGCTGGCTGTTCTGATCCGTTCTAATCCTCAGCTGTCCAGATCCCGTCAGCCCCCTGCCCAGGAGCTCTGAATGAGCCCTCAGGTTTCAACCCTGAAAGCACCTGCTGAGGCTGGGAGCCTGGGCCTGCCTCCTCTCTGTCCTGCCTCCTCTCCCCTTCTGTTACCAGCAGGACTAACATCAGTTCTGAGGGCCTGAGACCCCTGGTCCAGTGCAGCAGGCTGAGAGTCACCTACCCAGTATCCGCCCAGGATCGGGGCAGCCCTTGTTCCCTCTGCAGGAACCCCCAGCTCCTCACCCTTGCTGCAAAGGCCAGCGAATGAGAGGGAGGGGAGGAAGGGTTGTCCCCAGATAGGTGCTGTGGGGTCCAGTGACTGTGTGGGGTTAGGGGCCCGTGAATGACAGCAGGTACAAGGAGAGCTGAGCCTCCTTCTGCTTCTGGAATGAGCAAAGTGAAAGCCCCAGGGGACGGTGACCCTCCACCCGCCAACACAAATACGCAAGATGGATGGGGCAATGTCTACCATCACGGACAGGAAGGTAAGTCCAGAGGGAGGCCGGAGTAGCAAACCTGCCAGACCATGCCGCCTCCTCCTGGCCGCTTGTCTCCCCAATCCCTCCTTGTCACAGCACAGCGATCACAAATCACCATGCTCTGACCTCCTTCACGGCTGCCCCCTTTGTGCCTCAGTCTCCACTTCTCAGGAGCGCCCTGAGCCTCACACAGCACACTCTACCCTTGGAGCATTCACTCTACCCCAAGGGGATGCAGCTCGGCCTCGCCCATAGCAACAATGGCATTTTCAACCAAAAGCTGAACTCGATGCTGGTTTTATTACAATAGTAATGCACTAAAGGGGCAAAGGAGCTTTCTCTGAGTGGCCATTGCTACATGGGGCTCTCACCCACATGTCCTCCCGGAACATGCGAGCTAGCGACCTCAGAAGGGGGCAGGGATGAGCTCCAGGTGGCGGGCACAGGAGGTGGGGCGGCCCCCTTCTCCTCTGAACTGGTCCATCAGCATGGCTCACTCCGGATGATTTTGATGTCGTGGCCGTCTTCCCTGCAAGTTGAACAACCACAACAACGCAATCACTACCCACTGCGCTGCAGCCAGCTGACCACCTGCTATCAAGAACATTCACCCTGGGAGCTGGCACGGCGGTGCAAGAAGTCACCTGCAGCTTGTGACTGGTCCAAGACCATGCCACTCCACTTCAGATCTGGATCCCTGCTAACGCATCCTAGGAGGAGGAACAGGAGGGCTCGGGTGCTTGGGCCCCTGTGGTCCACATGGAAGACCCAGTCTGAACTCTGCACTCTGGGAACAGAACCAGAGGATAAAAGATCTCTCTCTCTCTCTCTCACTAACCTCTCTGAATTTCAAATTCATTCATTAATTTCAAATCTCATGCCAAGGTAGGCAATGGGGCAAGCATGCCAACTGCTGGTGCATTGGTTCAAGTCCCACCTGGCTGCCAGCTAACGCACACTCTGGGAGGCAGTGGGTGGTAACTTCAGTCTTCCTGTGTGCCACTCAAGGAGATCTGCTGAGTGCCTGGTGCCTGACTTCAGCCTGGCCAAGCACCAGCTATTGCTGGCATTTGGGGACTGAACCATAAGATGTTAGAGCTCTCTCTCTATCTTAAAAAAAAAAAAAAAAGGAGAAAAGGGCCCAGCATGACAGCCTAGTGGCTAAAGTCCTTGCCTAAAATGCACCAGGATGCCATATGGGCACAGTTCATATCCCACTTCCCTTCCAGCTCCCTGCATGTGGGGCCTGGGAAAGCAGTTGAGGATGGCCCAAAGCCTTGGAACCCTGCACCTGCCTGGGAGGCCTGGAAGATGCTTCGGGTTCCTGGCTTTGGATTGACTCAGCACCAACCGTTGCGGCCATTTAGGGAATAAACCAGTGGATGGAACGTCTTTCTCTCTGTTTCTCCTTCACTCTGTAAATCTGACTTTCCAATAAAAATAAATAAGTAAATGTTTAAAAAGAAAACAAACAAAAAAATGGGACCGTCACATTTCTCCCTTCCTGCCACTCCTCCCCTAAGCCGAGGGCTCCTAACCCAGAGACTGACTCAGTGACCTCTGGGTGACTCACTCCATGACGTCAGAGGCGTCTGGGTGCAGACTGAGGGTGAGAAAGGACTCTATTGCACAAGGCAGCACTCTGCAGGGGCAATCGGCATCGCCCAAGCGGTGTGCTCTGGGCAGGGCGTGGGGTCCAGCCCACTCGCCACTCGGGATTCTGCTAGTCAGGAGGGACCAGGCGGGTAGCTCAGCTCATCACGCCCCTTCTGACCCAGAAGATGCCCTGCTCTGCAGAGCTCAGCTACTCTGTTTGCGGAGAGTCCTGCCACTTGCTGGTGTGGTCTGCCACTCACGGTCACCAGCCTCACTCCCCAGCTCTGACCTGCGAACCGCAGCTTTGTGAATGTCAGTGTGAGGATGGAGAGCTGACAGCCACTGCCGAGTCACATCGTACACGGCCCCTAAGGAAGGAAAGGCCAGGCCAAATGCAGGTTACCTGATTTTCATACACAGGGTGCATTCGTTGGGGTAAGTGGACATGTCGCTCCCACACACGGGGTCAAAGTCTCTGGGGCAGCCGGGTAACTTGTACTGCGCACAGTTGGGCTGGGAAAGAAAGAGAGAGACAAATTGGAGCAGGAGTGGAACCACACAAAAACACCTGAGAGGGGATGACGCCTAGTGTGTACGGGCCTTCTTACAACACCTTCACAGGTCTATTTCTTGCCAAAAAGATAATTCTAATGCAAAAACTCAGGTTTCTTAGAATGCTTCAACTGACCATGAGTCCTATGCGCTACCACAGTTAAGATAGCATCCATAACATGATAGCCTAACATGATAGTATAGCGGTTAAGGTCCTCACCTTGAATGTGCCGGGATCCCATAAGGGCGCCAATTCTAATCCTAGCAGCCCTGCTCCTATCCAGCTCCCTGCTTGTGGCCTGGCAAAGAAGTCAAGGACGGCCCAAAGCTTTGGACCCAGCACCTGTGTGGGAGACCCGGAAGAAGCTCCTGGCTTCAGACTACAGTGCACAGAATTCCACTTAAAAAAAAAAGTTTAAATATATGGCCTGTTTCTTACACAAGCACACACAAACATATTTGAAAAGCATTTGAGGAGGGGTGGGTGCTGTGACACAGCATATTAAGCTGCTACTTGGGCTGCCCACATCCTAAGTCAACAGAGCCAGGATCCAGGAGCTCACTCCTCAGCCAGCTTCCTGCCAGCGGACAGCCTAGCAAGCAGCAAGGAACTGCTCAGTGCTTTACCCACGTGGGCAGACCTGGTTTGAGTTCCTGGCTCTCAGCTGTGTCCTAGCCTGTCAGGGGCATTGAGGAGTGAACCAGTGAACTGGAGATCTCTCGCTGTCTCGCTCGCTCGCTCACTTTCTCTCTTTCTGCCTTTTATTCTTGTCTTTTAAAAGATTTATTTATTTTTTTATTTGAAAGGCAGATTTAAAGAAAGGAGAGAGTTCACTTGCTGGTTCACTCCCCAAATGGTCACATTGGCTGGATCCAAAGTCAGCAGTTTCCTTGCAGTCACCCCTGTGGGTGCAGGGGTCCACTTGACCATCCTCTGCTGCTTGCCCAGGACACAAGCAGGGAGCTGGATGGGAAGTGGAGCAGCTGGGACACAAACCAGAACCAGTATGTGTGTGATTCTGGCACTACAGGTGGAAGATTACCTGATGAGCCACCAAACTAGTGCCTCTGACTTTGAAATAAATAAAAACAAATAAATTCAACTTATAAAACACTTTTTAAATCTTCTTCAATCTCATGTTAAACACATAAGTATTTTCCTTAATGATAAAACAACTGATTATTCCTGTATATGATCAAAACCAAGTCAAGATGTCCCCTCATCTCTCCTACTCAATATTGTACTGAAGCTTCTCACCAGGATAATTGGGCAAGAAAAATCAAAAAAGGAAAGACTTGGAAAAAAGCAAAACTGTATTCAAAACTAGCAATCTTGTTATTTCTAAGGAATCTCCCGCCACCCCTGGGGCCGCAGGGGGACTTAGAATAAGCAAATTCAACAAAGTTGTAGTATGCAAAGTTGATACATAAAACTAACTCTATTCTATACATTGGCAATGAGTAATCAATTTCACCACATAATTCCATTCACACAGGCAAAAAATGGAATAAATATTTAGGAATAAACCCTGACAGAGGAAGACCTGCATGCTGAAAACCACAGAACACTGCTTGGAGACATCCATGCATGGATAGAACACTTCTGGAACACATGGTCCCTGGCCCCCAGACTGACCAACAGGTGCAAAGCAACCTTAGCCAGGAGTCTGGCAGGCAGCCAAAGCTGACAAACTCATCATGACCCTCAGGTGCAAAAGACAGGGGGCAGTGTGACAAACGGAGAGCCAGAGTGGCAAGATGTACCAGGCCCTGTTTTCAGAGCTACCTTGAGTGTGGCACTGTGATCTGAGTAGTGGGCCCCCAGCCATGAGGCAGCAGCAGAAGGGACAGGTGGAAAGGCAGGATGTGTTTAGAATGGATTACTCAGGAGAGAGATTCAAGGTTTGCCCAGGACATGCCCTGGACTGACTGGGGCATCAGCAACGAGCTTGGGAAAGACAAGTTGGGGACTTCTTGACTACCCTGGGTCAGGGGGAAAGCAAAGCAAGAGTGGTAGCTACAGCAGAGGCAGGAAAAAACACAAATCTTCTGTGGGAGTCACACTTGCTGTAGCCGTGTCAACACTGCGCTGGCCTAGCACACCTGATCACACCCAACTGGGTCTGTGCCCTCGTGCCTTGCACCCTGGGCGCTCGCCTTTGCTCTTCTGCAAGAGAAAATCGAACACAAGGAAACTGGGGTGTGGGACCAAGAAATCCCACAGGGCAAAGACAGATGACGTCTCCGACACGATGGAGCACATGTTGGGGCTTTGGGAGGCAGGAGAGGACAAGGTGAGCCAACCAATCAGCGGTGGGATGCGGTAGTGAGGAGCGCTGAGACTGTGGTCACAAGGGCTAGAACCGCACAATGGTTCTACAACGTCCCAGTGACAGCAGCCTCACAGCATGACGGAAGCACAAGCAAGTTACTACAACAACGTGTCTGGAACGGAGCAGGACAATGGGCTTCCACACACTCACTGCCATGGAAACAGCGGCAACAAACAGCAATGGAAAGGACAAACGGGGCCCACCTACAGAGTGCAGGAGCATCCATGCACTCACTGCCATGCTAACTGTGGCAACGAAGATAGGGAGGTGTTCAATGAAAACACAGACAAACATCAGGTCTACCTATTTTGACAGAAGACCCAGGGAACCAAGCCCTCCTGCCACAGGTGCCCTACCAGCCCAGCACCTGCTCTCACTTGACCCGCTGACTAGCTCACCTAACAATGGCTTCCCCCAAGATCACCGAGAGAACCAAGACTCACCACACACTCACCTAAACCATCACCAGACCATCCATGGGGACTTTCCAAAGCCCATGCAGAATGGAACTCAAAGACAGCCTTGGGCTTGGTGCTGTGGCCAGGGCTAACCAAGCCTGCCCTGGAAGGTGCCACTTGTAGTCACCACTGCCCACTCCCCATCCCACCCAACTTGCTGCTGTTGGACCACAAAGCTACTGGACGATGGCCCATGTGCTTAGAGGTCCAGGCTCCTGGCCTAGACCGCACCCAGCCTGGCTCCCTCTAGCCATTTGACCAGTGTACAAGCCAAAGCAAGAACAATTCCCATTCATATTCTCTCTCTCTCTTTCTGTCTTTTCCTCCTCCTCCTCCATTTCCTCCTACTCCTCTCTCTTGTTCTTCCTCTCTGACTGCCTTTTGAATAAATCTTCCTGTAAAAGGCTCAGCAAATGCAGATATTGCAAAGAGGGAAGGGGCAAGGCAAGGAAGCATGGACCAAAGGAAAACAGAGAGGTGGGGAAGGGAGGGAGGGCAGGTGGAGGACAGGGGGACAGAGAGGGAAGTGAGGCAGAGCCAGCCTAGCTCCCATAATCAAGAGTCCCACGTGGCCGCTCAGACCCTCCCAGAGAAGAAAAGAGTTTGGCTTGCTTGCATGTGTGGTGGTCCCACTCAGGGCTTGCTACTTACAGTTCTGTATTCTGAAGGCTGATCAAATGGACTGTTCACAGAGGCTGAAGGAGGAAGACAGAGATAACTTACAGAATGCCACCGCCTGATGACAAGTCCTGTCCCTTTGTGTGTCTTTGGGTGCCTTCTGCAACTACCTTACTGCCAGTCTCAGCTTCTCCCCTGGACCTAACCAGGGGTCCCCAAGCTCAGCTGTGCCTGGCTGGGTCTTGGGCCTTGGTGACCAGCCTGCTCAGAAGACACCCTGTGGCCACCACCCAGGCTAGTCCTAGTCTCAGGGACAGTGGCTCTGAACGCACCACCAGAGGGCAGCAGCTGGCACGCTTTAGGACCCAGCAGGGTTCAGGCTGGGTCCTCCTAGGAGCCGCCCCCTCGCCCTTTCTCCCTCCTCCTTGGAGGAACCGCTGGGGAACCGCCAGTAACGGGCACGTGGGACCGGTGTCTTGGGCCTCCGGGAGCCGGGACCAACCAGCACCCTGCCACACGCCCCCCGCCCCGCCTTGGCGTCGCCTCTGTGCCGTTAGTGGCGGTGCTGCCCATCGGTGACCCCCACCTGAGAAGACTCCGGCCAACAACGACAACATCAATGGCAGCGTCGCCAGGGCCATCCTCCCCGAGTCGTCGTTGGCCACTTGAACCAAGTGGACCGCCAGACCTCGCGACGCTCTCGGGCCAGGGGGCCGGACGGTGGGCGGGGCTGGGCGGGGAGGGACTGGGCGTGGCTGGAAAGGAGCAGGTGTGGATGCGAAGGCAGATGGGTGATGGGCTCTGGGGGAGATGGGCTCCAGGTGTGGACGGGCTCCGGGGGAGAGGGGAGAGAAGCAGAATGCAGAGCAGCCAACTCTGAGGTGCAGGTAACAAATGCTCCTAGGACCTTGGAAGAGTATGCCCTGGGTGGACAATGCTGGACAGCCACTGGCCCTGGAATTGTGTGAGGCTGTTGGCTGGCACCAAGCTGCTCTTGCCAGGGCAAAGGACCATGATTGAGGCACTGGTGCAGGGACCAGTGAGTGGCTGGCGTTGTGGTGCAGCACAGTAACCTGCAGCTTGGGGTGCCCATGTCCTGCAGTAGAGTGCCTGGCTACTGCTCCAGCTTCCTGCTGATGCACACCCTGGAAGACATGAGGTGATGGCGCAAATATCTGGGCTCCTGTGACCCATGTGGGAGACTCAGAGAGGCTCCTGGCTCCTGGCTTTACTGTGGCAGACATTTTAGGATTGAACCAGTGAATGGATGACCTCTCCTGTTTTCTTCTCTCCCTGCCTCTTTCATTTAAGGAAGCTGAAAACCATCCACCTGCATGTGCAATAGTGACTACGGACGGGGAGGGGTGCTGGGAAGGGTTTGATAATGGCACTAAAGCTCGGGTAGGCGAAGGGCTGAGATCGGGGGCTCCACGCACGGTGGGGCGTCTCCAGCTCACACTCACCTGCTACTCAGCCAGTGGAGAAGTAGGAGGGAGAGGAGCAGACGCTCCAAACGTGCAGGACAAGGTCACGGAATGCCGCTCACCCTGACCTGGCAGAGCTCAGTGCAGACCTTGTGTTTCAGAGTGAAATCCCTGTGAGAATAAAAGTCATGGAAAGTAGAACACGGACTCCAGTGTCAAATGTGAACTTGAAACTTTCAGAAGAAAAGCGTGGGAGCCTAAGCAGAGTGTCCTCAGAATTGACTTTAAAAATGTATAATTCATTGCAAGAAAAATGACTACATTGGACCTCATCAAAAACTTTTTAAAAATTTGTTACAAAGCATATTGTTAAAAAAAAAAAGTTTGACTGAGACAAAATACATGTGAGCCACCAATCCAAGCAAAGAGTTGTGTGTCAGATATATAAAGAGACCCCAGAACTCCAGTGGGAGAAACAATACGATGAGAAAATTAGCAAAAGAAATAGCTGTGCCTGATGCAGTAGCCTATTGGTTTATTTTCACAACCTTGCATACGCTAGGATCCCATACATGCACCTGTTGATATCCTGACTGCTCCACTTCCCATCCAGCGCTCTGCTTGTGGCCTGGGAAAGCAGTCAAGGGCGGCCCAAAGCCTTGGGACCCTGCACCCATGTGGGAAATCCCGAAGAGGCTCTGAGCTCCTGGCTTCTGATTGACTCAGTTCCACCCATTGTGGCCACTTGGGGAGTGAAGCAACGGATGGAATGTCTTTCTCTTTGTCTTTCCTTCTCTCTGTAAATCTGCCATCCCAATAAAAAAATAAATAAAGCTTTTTTTTTTTAAGAAATAGATAATCATTTCCCCGGAGAGCAGCTGCAGATGGCAGCATCATCGGCCCTGGAGAAGTCAGAGGAAGCACAGTGTGAGAGCCTCACGTACCAGGTAGGAGGGCTAAAATTAAACAAACAACAAAGCCTGATAACACCAAACGCTTGCCAGAACGGGGAGACACCGTGTTGCTTGGTGGAACTGTCAAGTGGTGCAGCAGCTCTGTAACTTGCTTACAAGCTGGGCAGGCAAGCACCCTAGGGCTCCTTAACCCCACTCTTGGGCCCTTCTGCCAACAGGTTGAAAAATTTTTGTTGTCCCAACAATGTATCCAGAATGCTTCGAGCAGTCTTATTTGTAATAGCCAGGAATTGGCCACAGTAAGTGTGGCCTTGGTGGAGTGTTGGTTCAGTTGTGGTCTATTGCTAACCCAAAGTGCGGCTTGGTAATGACAGGGGAGCAGCTGGCACAGGCAGCGTGCGTCCTGCCTGTAGGGGGCGCTGTGCTGGGATTCCCACATCTCATCTCCACATGGACTTTCTTTTAAAAAGATTTCTTTATTGTTATGGGCAGATATACAGACAAAAGGAGAGACAAACACGTCTGTCCACTGACCACTGTCTAAATGGCCACAATGGCCGGAGCAATCCAAAGCCAGAGGCCAGGAGCTTCTTCCAGGTCTCCCATGGGGGTCAGGGTCCCAAGGCTTTGGGCCGTCCTCTGCAACTTCCCCACATCACAAGAATGGAGCTATATGGGAAGTGCAGCAGCCAGGGTGTGCACAGGCACACACATGCGATCCCAGCACTTGCAAGAGGAGAATTAGCCCACTGAGCCATTGCACCAGGCCCAAAATTAATACTCTTTTTATATACTGAGTTCTGGTCTCATGTTCCTGTCCCCGCTGTTTTTAACCTCCTCTCTGCGTATTCCTAGGTGTACCCATGACTAGCTTTTCATTTTGAAAATACTCGTTTTTGCACATTTTAAAGGAAGAGAGAGTTCTTCCCTCTACTGGTTTATTCCCAAGTCCTGCCACAGCTGGAGCTGCACCAGGCAGAAGCCAGGAGCCTGGAACTCCATCCAGGTCTCCCAGCTTGGTGGCACGGACTCGGGCATTTGAACCATCACCTGGTGCGCCGCAGGGCGCACATTACCAGGAACCTGGACTGGATGTGGTGGGCTGACTCATTCCTGGGGTCTCCAACCGACAATCTGTGCAGTGTCCCCAGGGGCATCATCATCGGCTGTGCCGTGACACTCCTAGTTTTCACAATCCATGCACAACTACAAAACCCAGAGCCCAACAGGTCATGTGTTCTTTTGATAGAGGGATTCCTGCCACGTTTCAGTGTAGTCATAGAACTTTGTCACCTCCTTGGCTGAGAACTGTCCACACCCTCCCATAGGCGAAGCAGTGAGGCTGAATGTGGTGGTGTCTGCTGCCATCTAATGGAGACACACCGACATAACCAGCACCTCATTCACTGTGAGCATGGCTTTGGTTTAACCATCATGTTACCTCAACAGGAACCTGTGAATCAGACATGGATATTCCGATTTACATCACTGTCTTTTTTTTTTTTAATTTCCTTATTTTATTGGAAAAGCAGATTTACAGAGAGAAGGAGAAATAGTTGGAAAGATCTGTCCGCTGGTTCATTCCCCAAGTAGCCAAAACAGTTGGAGCTGAGCCAATCCAAAGCCAGGAGCCCAGGAGCTTCTGCTGAGTCTCCCATGCTGAGGCAGGGTCCCAAGGCTTTGGGCCATCCTTGACTGCTCTCCCAGGACACAGCAGGGAGTTGGAAGGGAAGTGGAGCAGCCGGGATATGAATCAGGGTCCATATGGTTGTCAGTTTGGGAAGTGAAACATTTGACAATCTCTGTCTTTCAAATAAATTGATGAATTTAAAGTATTAAAATAGAATAAATACAGTATCTGAGCCAGGCTCATACTCCAGCCATTTCACATCCTTTGGTCTCGTTGCATCCTCTCACTGGCCTCACTATGTAGCCCCTGACTGTTTGGAGAACACGCTGCAGATGAGTAGTGCACTGCCAGCAAGCCCTTCATCTTGGAATGCTCTTTCCTTAGCGTTCAGCGTCCAGATGGGTTGGAGGTGACAACTGCAAACAGAATTCCACTTGTGTGGTGGCCAGTGGCACATGGACCCTGTGTTTCATAGATTTCTAATAATCAAGTTGAAGACCCCAAAGGAGCAGGAGAAGTGTGGAGTAACAGGGGACTGAGTCCCACAGCTGGGCAAATCTGCAGATGCCAAGGAGTTTGATGGCTCAAGCACTGACCAGCGAACCTGCTCCTGGTGTTGCAACATTGGCTATCCTGAGCGCGCAGCTCCCTCTGCTGGTGCATCGCGGGTAAGCAGTGTGCCCACGGTTCCCAGAAAGATGCTGTCACTTCCATTTCTGAATGCTCCCGGGAGGTTCTGGTCCGTTACCGGCTGGGAAGAGAACACACCTGTTCGCATCCCTTGGAGGCACTGTTCTGCCTTTCTTCGTGTTTCCACACCAGACCACACGTGAACTTGCATGTCCAGACTCCCGGGGACTTTGAGTACAGGACCTCTTCAGCTGTCATGGACATGGGCTTGCACTGCTGTACACCTAGGATTTTTTTGTTAAAAGGGTATTTTTTATTAAATAGTAAAAATACAGATTCTTATGTGAAAAGCCCAAGAAGCTGCATTTGTCCTTTTTTTAAAAAAAAAAAGATTTATTTTTATTATTTTTTCATCGGAAAGGCGGATATACAGAGAGGAGAGACAGAGAGGAAGATCTTCCGTCCAATGATTCACTCCCCAAGTGAGCGCAATGGCCGATGCTATACCGATCCGAAGCCAGGAGCCTCTTCCGGATCTCCCACACGGGTGCAGGGTCCCAAAGCTTTGGGCTGTCCTTGACTGCTTTCCCAGGCCACAAGCAGGGAGCTGGAAGGGAAGCGGGGCTGCCGGGATTAGAACCTGCGCCCATATGGGATTCTGGCGCGTTCAAGGCAAGGACCTTAACCACTGCGCCACTGTGCCGGGCCCCTGCATTTGTTCTTGATCTGTTTCTTTGCGAGAGAAAGCGGCTAACAGACAGAAAATGGTTGACACAGATCTGCCACCTGCTAGTCCACTCCCTGAGTGCCAAGTAATGGCCCCAGCACCAATGTGGGGAGCCAAGGGCTCCGCTCAGGTTTCCTGAGCACACAGGCTGACAACTGCCATGTCCAGGTCATTGCTGGCAGGAAGCTGGCATAAGCAGACCATTGAGAAACTTCCACCCAGGCACTTCTCCGTAGGAGGCGGGGGTCCCAACGGCTCTGAACACCCTCCCAGCCACCTCAGAGATGCTGAGTGAACAGGTGCTGTGGGGTAGGCAGCTAGTTCACGGTCACCACTTCTGCTCACCCATCATCTCCTGGAACCTGAGGAGAG